GCTGAGGTGTGACTTCCGTTTAAAAGCTTTTCCACATTCCTTACATTCATAGGGTTTCTCACCTGTATGAATTCTCTGATGCCAGCTGAGGTGTGACTTCCGTTTAAAAGCTTTTCCACATTCCTTACATTCATAGGGTTTCTCACCTGTATGAATTCTCTGATGCCTGCTGAGGTGTGACTTCCGTTTAAAAGCTTTTCCACATTCCTTACATTCATAGGGTTTCTCACCTGTATGAATTCTCTGATGCCAGCTGAGGTGTGACTTCCGTTTAAAAGCTTTTCCACATTCTTCACATTCATATGGCTTTTCACCAGTATGAGTGCTCTGATGTCTGCTCAAGTGTGACTTCCGGCAATAGGATTTTCCACACTCGTTACATGCAAAGCGCTTCTCACCTGTGTGAATTTTCTGATGCATACTGAGCTGTGATACAGCACAGAAAGTTTTTCTGCATACATCACATTCATATGGTTTCTCAACAGTGTGAATTCTCTGATGCTTGCTGAGGAGTGACTTCTCATGAAAGTTTTCTTTATATCCAATACATCCATAGGACTGTTCCTCCATGTGAGTTCTCTGAAGCTTAGCAAGGTCCAATATCTGACAGGAAAAACAGTCACAGTTATTACATGTGTAGGGCTTCTCCCCTGTATGTGTTCTCTGATGTGTAGGAATGTATAATTTCTTAAAGAAGGATTTCTCACTTTCAATACATTTTTAGGGCTTCTCACCTGCGTGTATTTCCTGCCAGTTAGTGGTTTTAGACTTTTTACAGAAAATGTTTGCACATACATCACATTCCAATGTTTTCCTCCCTACCTGAGTTGTGTCTTGGGCAATGAGAGCTGACTTATCACAGCCTTTCCCATGTTCATTATCATTACAGGAGGTCTCTCCCATATGAACCCTCTTATGTGTAAATATTTTTGGTTTGGTGTTGAAGAGTTTCCCTTGTGCACTATATTCAGAAGGCTGCTGCCTTGGTTGAAGCTTGTTATGCTGACTGAAATGCTCACAGTGTCTGAGGGATTTCCCAGTTATACTAAAGCATTCATGCTTCTCTCCAGCATGCATTTCATCAGGATCTATAGGAAGAAGTGCATTCTGACATACATTAAACTCCTCAGGCCTCATTTCTGAATAGTTTCTATTATTTATAATCAGATTTGGTATATGGTTTGAGCTTGAATTAAATGATTTTCCTAACTCAACTCTTTCCTCAGTTGATGTGTTGTTGGTGGTGATTACAACTTGCCACAAATGTCTACAGTGACTTTCTTGGCTCCTGTGAAATAGACCATCAACTTCCCGGACATCTGAAATGAGAAAAAAAAACATGTTTACGAACCACACATAAGTATACCTTATTGAATGCTAGTGTACAGGTAATAAAGTTTCTACCTACCATAGTGACATATTTTATAAAAATCCAGAACAGTTATTGGCTTTATGAGTATTTTGCTTTTCTTCCTACTGAATGCTAGTGTACAGGTAATAAAGTTTCTACCTACCATAGTGACATAATATTTTATAAAAATCCAGAACAGTTATTGGCTTTATGAGTATTTTGCTTTTCTTCCTACTGACTAAATGCAATAAACTCTACTTATATATTTTCTAATGTTTTTAAATGTCTCTTTTCTAATGAATTTTTCTATTCTTAAAAAAAAATTCAAAGGTTAAGTCAAGTGTTTCTTTGCTTCTTTTATAATTTGTACTAAAACACTTGGTAGAAAATTTCACCTACTGCCTAATTATAGTTTTCAACTAAGTTCTTATCCCATGACATTTGTTCACCCTTTCTTTTTCTCTGTTTTATCCTATAATATCAGTGGGTGTCTTGTGCTGCTCTTTTTCCTCCTGATTCTGTTGTGAAGTTGGCAGGGATTTCTTGAATCAATTACTTTGAGGTATAAGAGAGGCCATTTTTCTGTTACTTAAGTTGGAATATGCCTTAGGTTTAGAATTTTGTACCTGTTTCTATAATTTTAACACTTACCTAAGAAATGACTATATGCATCTGCAAGTTTTTCAAATAATACAATCTCCATTACTCCACACTAGATAAAGACAACTTCCTTCAAATTCCTCATTTAACCTAACACCCACTGCTTCTCAAAAGCATTACAATACAAGAAGTTTGAGTCCACCACCCCGGGCACTACTTCCCCATGTGTCTGAACAATTTGGAACTACAACCCATGCTGTGTCTACCATCTTTAAAAAATGGGGTTTTTTTGGCTCCTTCTAAAGTAAACTTGTATACTCCTTCCAACATCTGGCACATGCACACTATGCTTGATAATTCTCTGCTTCCGTACGTTTTTGTTCTGTGCACTGAAATTTTGCTCTGTTCCAGTTTCATAGAAAATGGAGTCTCTTGTACATTTCTACTTCTCTTTGTTGCTTCAGAATGATTTTCAGAATGAGAATAAAACGCTACCTTCAAATTCTACCTCCAAACAGAAATCTGAGTCTGTAAACAAAAAAACCTTGATTGGCTTGGCCATAGGACCAAAAATCTCCTGGTTCTCCTCCCAAATCTAGGACCAACTCTTTCCTTGCTCCTATCCTGGATACTGCTCAGCTTCATGATTTCTGATTTTATGGCACACAATGCTCACTACTGGAACGCCTTTCTCATTTTCTTATCAACTCCATAGATGATATGCATAAGTATGATTTTTTTTTTTTTGACCAGTAAGGGGATCCCAACCCTCGGCACACTCAGCCAGTGAGTTCACTGGCCATCCCTATACAGGACCCGAACCCGCGGCCTTGGCACTACCAGCACCATACTCTCCCGAGTAAGCCATGGGGCCGGCCCTATAAGTATGATTTTAAATATCAGCTCAGCTGTAGGGTGCCAATCTCCAAATTTGTATGTCCAATAGTCATGTCCACTCCAGAATTCAAATACATGTATGGATTGTATGTCAAAATTAGATAAGATTTAACTTGAAGCTTTGCCAAAGAAAACAAAAATCCCTCTAAAACTGCCTTCTCTGAACATCCTTTCTAAAATTTCACATCCTGTATTCCTCTCTCTTTGGTTAAAATATTCCTCATAATTTTTATGCAACTAATTAGCATATATTATTTTCTTGTTTCTCTTTCAACACAATGTAAACTCTTTGAAAACAAGATATAGCTGTTGTAAGTACAAATATAAAATGATCAGTGCTTAAAACCTGATCAATAAAAATGTGGTGAAAGAATAACTAAATGTGTAAATATCTGTGTTATAGTCTGAATGTCACTCATAATGCTTATTGAAGGTTGATTCCCATTGTGACAGTGTTAAGAGGGTGAAAAATCCACGTATGGTATGTGAAACATAGGGAATTTAGGAAGTGAACAGATCATGACGGTTATGACCTCATAAATGAATGAATCTATTCAGGAAGTAATGGTATAATGAGTTATCAGTTAGTAGACATGTGGCTTTATAGGGAGAGGGAGACAGCATGTGGACATACTTTTGTCAATCTTGCCATATTGTACCCTGCACCACCCTTGGGACTCTGCCAAGAATCACCACCAGAAAGAAGGCCCTCACTTCATGCAACCCCTCAACCTTGGACTTAGCCTCTAAAACTGTTAAGAAAAACATTTTGTTTCTTTATAAATTACTAAGAGTCTGGTATTGTTGTAAGTATAGGAAAAAAAAAACTAATATGTTCTGGAAAAAATGTGCATGAGAATGAAGGAAAAGAGGGCAACTGAGAATACTGAGAAAGTGAATAGCAAAGAAAAATGTCTAAGAAGAGAAATGTAGGGGGTAGATTTTAGGTAAATATTTTCTAAATTAGGCAAAATAAAATGTAATATACATGTAACAGCCTTCCATGGAAATTATATAATGCATGCGCTTAATGCATGCAGCCTAGCTGTCCTCGGGTCTGTATCCAGGGAAAAATTCCTATTAACAACTGAACACTGCCCACATCTGCTGGGCTTCACTCTTTCCAGCCTCACTGTACAATATCCACCAACTGACCTGGGAGCCTCTGGTTTGGGGGTTCTTCTGTTGTCCATGGCTCTGCACCTTTCTCCAACTTGAAGATCAACCCAGGTTTGGTAATGCAGTGCCCTGTTAATGAGAAATAATGTTGGACTTTATAAAACCACTAAGTTAGATCCTTGGAAAAATGACAAGAGCTCAGCTTCACAAGCTGGACAATGAATGGGTCAACTTGAACCTTTCATTAGAAGGATGATACTCACATTCGTCTTGAAATGGAATCTTACCAAAATAGCATTAAACCTTATAAATTGTGCCCATATTTATCATGAACAAAACTGTGTCATTCCTGGTCATTTTGGGGGACTTTCACCCACCCAATGACACCATGCTGCTGTAGGTCTCCAGCATCACGTCCCTGTACAAGGTCCTCTGAGCATCATCCAGGTACTGCCATTCTTCCCAGGTGAAGTACACAGCCACATCCTCAAAGGACATGAAGTCCTGTAAAGGCACATTTCTGGTTAACTCAATTCACTAGCCCTGGATCAAAAACAAATCTAGTAGTTCACAGTTCTGTGTGTGGATGTATCATACATACCATACATAAGATGCAGATTCTTAGTACTCTATATGGTGGGATATAAGAAAAACCACAAAAGGAATATCCTGACACTGTTGTAATTTATTTGTTTCTAAAAACATGATCACAAAGCTTCCCATACAGATCTAGAATCATCCTTGTTGCTAGTGATAAAAGCATGAATAAAATTCTGCCCCTCCAAGGAGCTTATGATCTGGTATAAAGGCATAAGTACAAATATATACCTGAAATAATGTCTGATGAACTGATTTAGACAGAAGTTCAATGTAGGGGTAAAAAAGAAAGAAAATGTAGTTTCAGTTTGTATCTGGTATGCACTGCACTGAAATGCCACAAATGTGCTCTTCCATGCAAACCATGTGTGTTCTTGTGAATATAAGGAAACAACAAATGTGCAGTCACAAGAGCACAAAACATGTACCATGTTCATGGAACTACACACAGCACAGTGTAGGTTAATGACCCTGTGCTGCGATGACAGATAAATGCAACATTGAAGCAACTGATTATGGAGTGATTCTGCTTTTCAATATTTGGCCAAATACAAACAATACATCTTATGCACTTACTGTTGTTTTTCAATTACTTATAAATAAAAAGCACATACAAAGGCAACCCAAAGTTTTCCTACATGCAAAAGGATTGCCTCTGTCCATATCAGGGTGGACACTGCCACTTCCCAAACCACACTGTAAATTAATGACGTCCTGTAAAAAGAGCTAAGTTACATAACCAGATTTGCATTTTAAGTCATCCACTAGAAGGAGAATGGGAAAAGTTTTAAAGGAGAGTCAGAGGGGAAGAATCCAGGGTGAAAGAAGACCACCTACATCAGACAACAAAGCAGGAAGCAAAAAGAAGAGGGTCCTAATTCTATAAAAGGGAAAAAAATTAAAGAGAGGAAAAAGCAGAAACAGAATATAGTATTAATCTGCTGGGCAAAAGATAAAAAGAAGAGTTTTACTCCCAAGCTATATGCATAATCACAGGTGGTAGGTATGGCACTGTAGAGTCAAATTATTTGGAAAATGGGAGAAAAATATAATGGGCAGAAGTAACACAGACTCAGACACATCATATTTGAAACATCTGTGGGAATGTCCAGATGGCAATTATATGATTCCAGAGTCCATGAGAGAGATGTAAGGTGAAGATAAACATTTGAAATGCATCAGAATTTCACTAGTACCTGAAGCCATTAGAGTGAGTGAACCTAAGATATAAGTAAAAAGAACAAGCACAGAATCTGCAGAAACACTAATATTTGATGACTGACTGAAGAGAAAAACACCAAGTAGAATTTTTCTTAGATTATTCCATTAATAAAGGAAAGCTCACTATTAAGAAGTTTACCAACAGAGATCATCATATTCTCGGTTCTATGAAGCAAAATCCTTTAATTATTTGCATAGACATTAAAAAGACACTTTCAGAGGCTATCTGGGTACTTCCCTCAGTTATGACATGTTGCTGATAAACCAGTCAAGGGTTCAGATCCACTTACAGGACAGCTGCAAAAAACCAAACCAAAACAACGCCCCTGCCCCCAAACGTACCTTTAGTTTTCTATTTGCATACATGAAAAGCTGAGAAGTCAACATTCCATCGTATCAGTAAAAAATGAAAGAAAAAGTATCAACAACTCTTCCTGGATCTGTAAAAGAGAAGACACAAGGCAAATTACTGCCCACAAGATTAGAGATTGTTGTGGAATGAATGTCCCACACAAAACTCATTAACTCATTAAAACATAACCCCATTTATAACAGTCTTAAGAGGGTGGAAAACCTTCCTACTGTAATCAGAAGGTGGGGACTCTAAGAGGTTCTGATGGATTTAAAAGGAGAGAAAGTGAGCAGGTCACCTCTCTTTTGCTCAGCCCTTTCTCACCATGTGATACTCTGTGTTGATGTAGTGAGTCAACACCTATGAGAAGGCCCTCATCAGCTGTGTTCCCTGGACTTTAGACTTCCCAGCCTCCAAAACTATAATTAATTTCTTTATAAATTACCCAGTGTCGGGTATTCTGTTATAAGCAATAGAAATGCATTAATACAGAGAGGTAGACAGCCAAATACAAATGAATGGGTGACAGCAACAGAGACTTGGAAACCACCATGGGAACCAGTGTCAGAAGAGAAAAACTTGAATTGTGGCTGACAAATTGCTGGAGGCTCCATGTGAACAACTCTGAGAATTAAAAACTCCAGAAGGACCCAGTTATAAATGGACCACCACAATATTATAAAATTTAGCTCCAAAAACTTGACCCGTTGCTTACAGTAAATAGCAAAGAAAACTCCCCTTCTGCTTCCACCTGTGGGAAGAGAAAAGGCAATCCATTTTGAAATATGCCAGAACACCACGTACTTCTTACCAAGGCCTACACTCAGAAAAAAATACTTAACAAAAGCCCAATCTGCTGATTATCAGAGCCTAAATGATCTGGGTGAAGGGAAATACCCAACTCCAGCCCACTCCAGCCTTCCACATGGGAGAAGGAAATATCCAATTCCAGCTCATACCATCCACCCTGTCCCACCTAAAGGGGGAGAAAAAACCAAAACGAGAAAATTTGTGAAACTCACAATCCAGACAGAGCCTAATTTATTGACTAAGACTTAATGATAGAAATACAGAACATTTCTGCTATGGTCTGAATGTTTGTGTCCCCCACAAATTCATATGATAAAATACACTCTCTGATGCACTAGAATTAAGAGGTGGGTTCTTTCAGAGATGATTAAATCATGAGAACAGATCCCTCATAAGAGGGATTAGTGCCCTTACAAAGAAGACCAAAGAATGCTTCTTTTTCCCTCCCACCCTGTGAGGACACAAAGCAGGTACCACCTGGGAAAAATGGGCCCTCACCAGACATTAATCTCCTAAGCTTTGATGTTGGAATTTATGGCCTCTAGAACTGGAAAACATAAATTTCTGTGGTGTACACTCTACCCACTCTTAAGGTATTCTGTTATAGCAGCCTGACAGACTAACAGAGCTTCCCCATCTGCACACTTTACCACCACATACTGAATGCACATTATCACAGTTTCTTTTACTCAGTGTATCATGTGTGGATATTAAAAAAAACAAAAAAACAAAGGCATCTTAAAACAAACAAAAAAACCATAACTTAAGTGGCAGTGTAATCATCAGAACAAGACGTGGCTAGGATGCTAAAATTATCAGAGAGAGCATTTTTTAAAACTCTAACTGATATGCTAAGGGCTCAAATGAATAAAGTAGGCAGCATTTAACAACTGATGGGTAATGTAAGCAGAGACAAAGAAATACTACAGATCAAAACACGCTATTAGAAATAAAAAATGTTCGGGCCGGCCCGGTGGTGCACTGCTACAGTGCGCCGCTTGGGAAGCGCGGCAGCGCTCCCGCCGAGGGTTCAGATCCCACGTGCAGACCGGCGGCTCACTGGCTGAGTGAGGAGTGGGGGCAACACGGAGGGTTGCGATCCCGTTGCCAGTCCCGGTCCGGTACGGGCACGACACTGAGGGTTGCGATCCGTTGCCGGTCACGAAAAAAGACAAAAAGACAAAAAAAAAAAAAAAAAAAAAGAAATAAAAAATGTTCCCCATACCAGCCAGCCACCAATCTCAAAACCAGAAGAAAAAAGTCTTTGGTTTCTTAGTAGACTGGACATAGCTAAAAAAAAGAATCCCTGGGCTTGAGGGTACGTGAAGAGAAACTTCATATTAAGTCGGGCACAGAGGGAAAAATACCACAAGTCCTCTCTCATAAGTGAGAGAAAGAGGTAAGGAAAGAAAGATTGCAGTGGTCTCTTGAACTTACAGAGAGAGAGAACAGACCTATGGTTGCTAGGGAGGAGGAGAAAGGCGTTGGAGAGAGATTGAGTGGGTGAGATGGGGAATAATTGCAATTTGAGGTGGTGGACATGCTAACAGCATTGATTTGCTCATGACAACTTCAACACAGGTGCTGACACTCAGCTCTTGCCCCATAAATCTGTACAATCAATAAACATAAAAAACAAAAATTTAAAAATAAAATAAAATGTAACCAAAAAACCACAAAGATAAAAAAAAGAACAGATATAATATCCAAAGAATGTGGGACAATTACAAATGGTGTAACATAAAGAGAATACTAGAAGAACAAGACAAAGAAAGAAAGAAAAAGAATATTTAAAACATATGGTCTGAGAACTTCCACAAATTTATGTCAGACACCAAACCAAAGATCCAGAGAGCTAAGATAATAGAAGGCAAGACAAAAGCCAAAAACCTACATGGAGGCATGTAATTTTCAAAATACAAAAAATCAAAAATAAAGAAAAATCTGAAAGAAGCCAGGAGGGGGAAAGATCTTACTTAGAAAGGAACAAAGGTAAGAATTACACCCAACATTTCCTCAGAAACCCTGCAAGCAAGAGAGTGGAGAGAAATATTCGAAGTGTTGAGAGAAGAAACCCACCCACCTAGAGTTCTGTACACAGTGAAATCATCCTTTAAAAGTAAGTAGAAATAAAGTCTTTTTCAGACAAATGAAAATTGATTAAATCAGCTTCCAGTACATTTGCCCAGCAAGAAATGTTTTTTAAAAAATTCTATAGTGAGAATAAAAAGATACGGGTCAGAAACCTGGAGAAACATAAAAACAAAAGGAGAACTAAAGAAGAAATAAGAGAAAGTTCAATACAAATTTATTTTTCTTATTCTTAATTATCTACCTAGTAACAGGTGATACACAATAATACTAGTAATAATGCATACAATTATGCATTTACACACACACAGTCATACAGGCTTATATATAAGAGAAGTAAGGTGACAACAATGATGCATGGGAGCATGGAAGGGAGGAATTAGGATTATGCTGTTAACATAAGGTAGCCACACTGCTCATGAAGTGGTACAGTGTTAACTGAAAGTGGATTTGGATTAGCTGTAAGTGTATAGCTTAAACTCAGAGCAACTATTAAAGAAAGTGGGGAGGAACTAATATTATGATGTCTAGGAGGACCACAGATTAAATATAAGGACACATATGAATTCAAAATAAATGCAGAAAGAAAAATACACAATGCTAACTCTAGGAGTAGGAATATTTATTTCAGACACAGCAGACTTGAATGCAGGGAAAGTTACCACGCATAAAAAATGCATCGCACCACAGTATAGGAGTTAAATCTCCAAGAAAACAATTCTCGACATCTGTGTGCCTAATGACAGATTGTCAAACTACCTGAGGCAGAAATTTTAAAAAACTGCAAGGAGAAATAGATGAAGCCACCATGATGACTGGAGACTTCAACACCCTCTATCAAAATGGACTGATCCAGCAGGCAGAAAATCACTAAATACATAGTTAAACTCAACAAGATCTGGATAGAATTGATATCTACAGATTACTTCATCCAACAACAGAATATTGTTCGAAACTCACTTAAAACTGTCACCAAGAAAAATGACATACAGGGCCATAAAATACACATTAGCAAATTTAAAATAACAGAAATCATACAATGTATGCTCTCATACCACAATGGAATTAACTTGGAAATCAATAAAAGCACAATAACTACAAAATCCCCAGTGATTAAGTAAAACATTCAAGTAATGCATGGGTCAAAAATATACATCTTTTTCAATTAAATAAAAACAGAACACAACTTATGAAAATTTATGGGATACAGCAAAAGCAGTACTTTCAAGAAAATTTATGACATTCAGTGAATATATAAGAAAAGAATATCTGAAGTTAATCTAAATTTTCACTTTTAGAAGCAAATAAACAAAAATGATAATTAACTTGGATATATATA